TCATTCAATTTCCCGTAAAACTTTGAATCAAACTTCATGTGTCGATGGAGCTTGAAACGTTGATTATAAGTATGACAACTAATACTGCGAAATGAACCTGCCAAGGTTCCAGCCACCTTTGACTGCACACAACTTCCTTGGCAGGTTCATTTTGCAGTTTTAGTTTCCATATTTGTAATCAGCGTTTGAAGCTCTATCGATATATCTGGGTCTCAACTCAAAGTTCCATGGGAAGTTGAATGCCTTCCTGGTAAGTGTGGAAATTTTTAACAAAAAAAAAACCATTCTGGTGATGGATATCCAAATTTGATCGCAAAACGATTTTCTCGATTCCTATGCGTATCGTGGACGACCATCACGGCCATGAGTCAGCGCGAGAAAAACCAGTTTTTAAACGACAGAACAACATGAGAAGATCAAGACAGTGAACGTGATGGCCATTTCCCGTTCTTAGAAGACCCTTCATAACCGCAAACATTTTCATTCTCGATTTAAAGCTAATACTGTCAAATTAGAGAGTTTTATTCACCAGCGTCCTGCTCTACCCTCCCGAGTATTACTTCACAGTGAAGCAAGTGATGTTGCTCTTATAATTGAGACCCCAAATAAAAGTCATTTTCCACCTCCAGCAGAATCTGAGCTTTCTGCAAGTCCTCGGGCACTTGACTTAATCACTACTGTACGCTAACGCGGGCTCAGATAATCCCTTTGCCTCGAGTGTACGGGTAAATACATTTCTGTGCGCCGGAATTCTTGAAATCCCAACAAATGAAGGCCACTTTTTTCTTATAGAGAGGCTCACTAAATTTGGACGTGTTCTCAGGATGCCTGACACTTCATCAGTGGTATGGGGTATATAGCATTTCTAGCGCCTCCACTGCTGGTACCTCATGTTCCTGTGCGTATCACTTACACCTTCTCATCTTCCCACCCCAGGTATTCAGTGGCGTCAGGAACGCGCCTAACACCTACTCCACATGTCCTAGAATTTGCGGGCGGACCGCTAATGTAGGATTCTACGGTACCATGAAGGCATCCAATTATCCAGGTCACCCTCCTTCACCTCCATACAATGCTCAATTTTCAATCGACTACGACAATTGGTTGGAGAAACTGCAGGCTTGGTCCTTCTCCGATGGCTTCACAGATAAGGAACAATTAGGACCATCACACGAGTGTCTTCACTATTAAAGTATCCAAGCGAAGATGAAAATACAAGCGATAATACACGGCTTACACGACCATGGGATCAAATCTCGGGTGAAACTCAGAGAAAGATAATGCATCGAGCTTTAGCACCACGGTTGCCCACCCACTTGTTCAGGCAAAATCCCTTCTAATAACACTGCGATTCTGAGTGAGAAAAAATACGTGGCGCATCTCAAAAAATAAGCGATCAACGAAAAGAAATATGTTTGTATTTCATACCAGCGAGGAGCTAAAAAATTCGGGGACCACTCAGGGTTTATTCCTGGCTCGTTTTCAGCAATCTTAGCCTTGTATAGGCCTTTGTGTAACCGAAATTTAAGGCTGTGAAACGGTATTCTTCGTGAAGGTATTTCCCGCTACTTGTCCCAATATAGTTCTCCTATGCCACACTCGAACTCCTTCTACGAGTATGCGGTGTCGGCTCCTTTCTAAGGACATTTCTAGGGACACTTTGGGTCATTCCAATGTGGTCCCTATTGACGTACAAAAAGATCAGGCATAAATGATAGGAAACGACGAGGTGTGTAAGGTGCGTGTGCCGCGATGACTCACGGCCAAAGGCTATTTGCGCAGCGACATTGGCGGTGTAGCTCACGGAACTGCTTGGCAAATACAGTCCAAGCAGGCCACTAGGGATTAACAAGGATACTTTCCAAGAAGGACTGCCGCCTCCTCCATTCTAATCGCTCAGAGCCAAACTTAAACAATGTGTAAAAATTATTTATGAAAGTTGTGGAGTGAAAACGCTGTAAAAACCCTCTCCTATTTCCTTACGGCCTAAAACTTGAAAAAAGGCAGGCAAGCTGCAAAAGCTCAAATTCCGGCGGATGGCCTCTGAAATCGCCTAGGCGGCGCTCCTCCTTGCAAATATTTTCTAGTTAATCTTTAGAGACGCGCTGAGACTACGAGAGCCGTTATTTTTCCGGGGATTTTCTAGGGAAATTCTTCACATCCCTGCTTGTTTTCAATAATTGCGAGAGAACATGAACGGTTAGTTTGTTTCCGATGCTTCGTGTAGGGATGCGAAAGGTGGGTTGAGGTATACTAGGAGGAGACGCGTCACGAAGGTCCCGCGAGGGTGAAAAATGCTCACAAAGTGCGGCGGGGGGGCTAGAGTGTCGAAAATTGTAATTAGTCCAAACGAGCCTAGGGAGTCTACTAGTTTGAGAAAGTCAAGTGTACAACTGCGCCGAATGCGAGGTACTAATTTTGGTGAGCTATTCAACGAGACTCTAAGGGATTACCTAACCATAAGAGCACTATAATCCATTTTTGAGAAGGAGAAGAGAAGGGTAGAAGGGAAATTTGTAAGCAACCCCTTTTCCTGCTTACCTGAATGATTCCAGACAGAATATTGTACTTGCTTACTCCATGAAAATGAGGAGAAACCAATTTTCTTAGAGGAATAAATTTTTCTCGGAACTTCAGAATAAAAACACTTACCGGTCCCATTTCGAATTCTTTGGGTCGTCGTCCACCGGACTTCCTCGCTCCTCCCATGTACTGCGGGTTCAAGTCGTACTGTAGAGGCCCTCGCGGGTATCCAAATCCAGGCTGAGCAAGAGGGTTTAGACGATTGCCTGCAAATCATGCTATAATCAGTCTCTGCATTGAAATCGATAACCAGCCTTGCAAAAAATCTGCGACTTCCAATTCTTATGGAACGGGCTTCTCAGAGAATAGCAGACCTACGTCATTAAATAACTCCTTATCAGGAACACCCACGCGCCGGCACACAAACAGACAGACGTCAGGGCGATATGGTTGCGACGCTCAGCAAAGGCCTAACGCAAACCTGGTGCGAACCAGGCTTTTGCCTGGTGGTTGAAGGTAGGTAATTACGGGTAAGAAGGGAGAGAATATTCAACCCATAAAAGGGTCCTATTCGAAATTTTTAACAAAAATAGGTGATGGCCAGGTGGATCCTTTAGTGGTGGTACAAAACGCCGACAGGCAAAAATAGTCCTGCCGGTTGTAAAACACTGCTAATCTACTAACTCAACTCTAATTTAGTGCCTTAACTTGAATCTTTTCTTTCAGCAGGTTAGGTCAAGAAAAAATACATACTTGAAGACCATCAGTTGAACATGAGCTCCTTCCAGCAAATTATGCTAATGACTAGAAATAAGCTTGATCGCACTGAGAGCTATCGTGCAATAGTCTGCACCGCCGCAAGCACAGCTTGTGCTTTTCAACCAAACTGCGATTCATATTGGGTCAGTTATCCCCTGGTAATCGACGAAAGCCTTCTCCTCTGCATATATCCCGCTTTCGTCCGCCACTTCCTTCTAGTGCTCTTACAGGAGAACAGAAGAGTCACAGATTTCAAGTTCGCAGTAGGGTGAGAAGAGGTAAAGGATTTTGCATTCTGAGCGACAAGAGGGGGGTTGTTTGGGAGCCGGGTTGGTTATGGAGGAATTGGAAGCGTATTTTTGGAAGGGGAGCAGGATTAGGTGGAATACAGGGATCCCTTAAAGAAAATTCATCCGACTTCGCTAAAAATTCCCGGGAAATTTTGCAAAACTTCAAGGAATTTTGTAGGAAAATTTTAGGTTCTCTACTGTTCTGGCTCTCCCATCTATGTAATCCCCTTCAAAGGAAATTTCAAGCGAGGGTAGATAGTTGCAAGTTGGATGGGAGAGCATGGGGGATTGCATGTAAGCCCTGGAAGTGGAGCTTGTTGTGGAGCCTGAGTGGACAGGGCCGCAACACGCAGCTCGCCCTGGTCTGCAATATACTTTGGAGGCATCCATATTTTTCACCCAATAAACATTAAAGCAGTCGGTGATGTGAGGATAAGTATGAACCCGCTCTGATGGTAGTCGGATATTCTCACAGAAGTGGAAACCTGAAGAAAATGGAACGCACCTATCGCTGGATTACCAATCGGCGATGTAAGTGGCGGAGCAAGCGTCGATGAACAGCTCGAATCAGCTGGTGAAGGCTGGGTGAACTGAAAATTGAAAACTAAGATGATGTCACCTTCGTGGAGTTTCAAGACAGTTGGTGAACAAAAAAAAAACTAGAAAGCCTTTTGCAGGATTATCAAGCTTTTGAGAGACATCGTCTGGACGATAACTTGCACTGTTAATTGCTTCACTCTCGGAGAGAATTTGAGCTTCCCTATGAGTTTTTCATTTACCTCATTCGTATATACCGTATACTTCTTCGACTAGCCTTGTTCACTGTATATTATTTCATATAGAAGGATCTTTTCTGGACAAGCCCAAGGTCTTTTTGCTACGTGTGGCGTTTTGGGTCTCTTCCTTGCCCTATTCGTTATTTTCACATATTTTGCGGTTCGGTTGCAGTTCCAACATCAAATTTTGAAGCGTCCATTTTTCCAAGCCATATAACTGCAGTGCCCATACAATATACTCAATCTCTTTGGAAACGTCTAGCTCTAAATTATCGCTGAGAGTCATTTTTGCCAGAACATACAGTTTTGAATTGTTCGCTGAAACGATTTTCAGGACATTTTCAGAATAATTCATGACCGACTCTCAAAGTTAGTTGTAGTGGAACTCACAAGGGGGGGGGGTCTTTCAGGGCAAGGTGCGCTTTTTCAAAACGGTTTTGTGCATATTGTAGGGACGCATGTAGGGAACGCAAAACCATGTTTCATTTTCGCTGAACGGTTTAGCAGTACCAAAAAAGAAGCATAAGGTACTGTTAAGGGTTCGATCCCCCGTGGCGACTAAATTTTGCATTTGGGTTGGCGCCTACGGTTTGGTGCCAAATCGCGCTAAATATCAAAATCAGATGTCAAATTCATCGTCAGGACCATTTTGAAGCCAACAAGTGGCCGCCTTGATTGCAAAATTTAGTCGCCGCGGGGGATTGAACCATCAAGAGTATTATTCACCACTTTTTTGGTACTACTAAAACCGTTCAGCGAAAACGAAACATGGTTTTGTGGTCCATACATGCGTCCCTACAACATGTACTAAACCGTTTCCAAAAAGCGCACCTTGCCCTGAAAGACCTCCCTTGTTAGCTTCCTTATTTTAGCCTCTGAGGTTAGTAGGAGAAATAAACAAATAAATAAATATAAATATAAAGACCTTTCAGTACATTATTTTTTCTCGCTTGAGCAACGCCCTCCAAAGATTGATATACTATGTTTTCTAGTGTTTTTATATCCTCAAGTCTTAAAGAATCAGGATATTCAAAAGAAAATTTTTTCGAGGCCACCATTGATTTTTTCTGGCAAAAAAAAGAAGCACGAAAAACCGTTTCGGCGAACACTTTTGACCGCTACTGTATGTCGCTACAGTATGTATTTTTTATAGATACAATAAATAAATGAAATTAAATAAATATAAAAACCGAGTGCCTTCGGCTCGTTTTTGGATTGTTCACAAAAAATCACATATTATCTAAACAGCAGTTCTCTCATAAAAATATGTTTTTCTATAGGAACGAATATCCTATCGTGCACCTACTACTGCTTTATGAAAACACTGCGATTCAAGGGCAACTTAATAAGCTTGTCGCTGAACAGGACAGTTAGAAGGCAATGGAAAGAAAATTCTAAAAAGCGCAGATAGGTCAGGCGAGGTAAGTTGGGCAAGAAGCTGGGAAACGTTTGAGGTTCCACTCTTCAAGTAAAGCTCTTCTAGCCACCATCAAAATGGAAAGGTGAGGACACCTGGAAGGAAAATTTGAAAGGATTTTATTTCAAAGGAGGCCCATTGAACCCTATAAACGCATATTTACCCTTGCCTGTATACTTGGAAGAAATGTGATGTTGAAGACTTGGCCATGATCGGACTGTTCGGGGGACGCCAAATCGGACTTCTCAAATGTAACTGCTTTGAAATGCGTTTGAATGCAAGTTTTGCCGAGTACTAGCTAGAGTGCCTACTTTAAAGGTAGCGCTTCCTAATCTTGTGAGATCAAGCAAGGATCGAGTAGCTCAGTTCTTCCAACCAGTGGAGGACCTCTCTGGCCAGCAACAAAGTCTACAAGGTCTTACAGCGGTCTTACGGCAATCTAACTGTCAGATACCGCCGAATTCCATGGCACCAAAAAATTGCGAAAATTCAAAAAACCAGCAAATAAAATTAGAATTCGAATGGATATCTTTTCAAACTTTATAATGCACAGATGGCTTTTAAGTTCCAAGATTTGTTTGCATCAGGGTAAGATAAAGGAGTGGCCTAATTTCGAAAAGAAATGATTTCGAGCTCACTGCCCAGATTACCCTACTCCAGTTCTTCGAGACTTTTAAGGCTAATTGGCAATAAGGCCCCGACCAACTTCTTCCTATTCTTTAAGACTGCTAAATCCACTTGGCTTAGGCTACTCTGGAAGACCCAATGGCTTGGAAGCCAGAGCAAAGACGATCCAGCTAACAACAAGAAAAGAGGATGAGGCTGGGCACAGCAGTGATTTCGACTGAAAACGGTACCTGAGCTACCTGGATGAAAAAATGAATATAGAGATCCAAGATAAAAGCATTCAGACCTCGGAACGATCAAAAGTCTAACACTGAGATACTCCTTGGACAAAGTGAAACATGACGCCTACACGGTTACAGTAATACGTCGTCAGAAGTCCAAGACGCTAAACAAATAGTCACGAGCGGCGATCGCGTTAAGTGCGCGCGATTTCCAATTGATAGGAGCTGCGAGGTACTTTGGATGTTGAAATAAACCATGATCGATATCTATTTTTTTCTCTCGGTGCTTAAATCAGGACAATTTTTTAAATCTTCAGAATTATGGAAATATCAGGTGATTTGAAGGGTCCTTGGAAACTGGGCTTTCTGTAACCACTTGAAGGGGAAGATACGATGGCGTCATGTTTCAAGAAGCAACTAGAAAAACGCCTTACTTTGCATGTTGAACGCTGTTGATAACTGCAGCTGGGACGTTGCTGTTTCTCGTATGGATGTCGTGACATGGTGCTTATCGATCAATTAATCAATAAAAATCAATCGATACAGACGACTAATCAATTACAGATAATCAGCTGGCACGAAATGTATATGTATGTGCGTGTGTTGGCTGGTCGGTTGTAGAAGAACGCCCGACCAGCTCCAACTATGACTCATCGCCCACAAATACCATACAAGTGGGCGGGACCAGGGGCGAAAGTGAACAGGGGGGAAATCGTCAAATTCGCAACCTCTAATCGTCATAAAGAAGCAGAACTGCACATGAAATGTGCAAAAATTATAAGAATAGCCAGTTCGACGTTCAGCCAGGTCGAATTGGTCGAATTCAGACCAACAGTACTGAATTCTTTGGCACCAAAACAACACCGAGACATCCAAGTTGTTGAATTCCCTATGCATGCCGTAATTTTAGGGGTGTCCTAGTTAAGAACTATGGAAAGATGGAATAGTCGTGTTCGCTAAACTCTTATCTGCTGCAAGTTTTCACCGTGGAATCTTCACTTGTCGCGTACAGGGATGACTCATCGCCAGGTCCACGGAAAAAATGTTCTCTCTTCAATAACCCCATGAAATTTTCTATTCACCGACTAGGTGATACCTCCCAACGCGAGTTCCGTTTTATTGAAACTTGGCGCGAAGAGAGGGGTTCGCTGATAGGAGAACCAAAGGTCTTTCCAGACCGTATGAAGACGGAACTGATGGCGGCAAGGGACAAAAGCCAAGGTTAGGAGGGGGGGGAGGCTAACCCTCAACTTAGAGGGCTACGAATATCAATGGATGGGGATGATAATTCATCTTCAATTTCACTTCCATTCCACTTCAATCTTGCAGCTACTCGGGTGAAGCTTCGAACAACTTGTCCCTGACACTTGGTGCCTTTGGAATTTCGAAGACCAAACCCATTTGGGGCCAGTCAAGTCGTTAACTGACTCTCATCCAAGCATCAAATCAGGCACAGAGGGTAGCGCCAAATGTTAGCAACTTCACTGGTGCTATCGCTAGACACCCAAGAAATGCGGAACACCGGCGCTTATCACAACGTCATGGAAAAATCAGAGGTTTTCCATTGGGAATTTTGAGTCAGCCATCAATTATCGACTATCGATTAATTTGAGGGTTGCGAAATAGTACGCAATGAAATAACGCCAGCAAGAGCGCATCAGATCAGCCTCTGATTACAGCGAACCAAGCCCGAGATGTCTGGGAAAACGAACAAGGTTCAGACAAAGGGTTTTCACCCAACACTTATGCGAGGACACACAGAAATGCAGCACTGGATGGCTCCGAAAAGGACTCCTGAACCTTCTAGGCATCATAAAGTAGTCCAAATCCTTCCATACTGAAGCGAAAAGGAGACGTTATGTCGACCAATCATCTTGGGGTGCGCCACGCTTTCTACCTCCATCCAGAATCGTAAAGGTTTTTGGATGATAAATACTGGGATGCAATACTGATCACACGGAGAGTAGCGAAGGAGCGATTCAGTTACCATCCAAATCAGGACAAGCATGGTGCAATTGATGAACCTCAACACACAGACGTTGAAACTGGTTTAGTGAGGCAAGTCAACTCTGGATTTGTTTCGAAATGACATGCCTATTGTACTAGCCCCCCCACAGCCACTGACATACACCTTCTCCACTTGGGAAAACACGAAATACTCGCTGATTATTGCTCATTATTATCTCCTCAATCTTAGGGTTTATTCTAGCGTCATTTAACGAATTGATTGATAGATTATTTCTAGCACCAAGTTTTGCATCTCCCAAAAAAACCGCAAGCATCACAGGGCTGAGCATAGATCACGGAAATTATCAGCTTACGATAACCTGTTTTAGTTTGAAAGTATTCGCCGGACAGTTGTAGCACAGTTAAACCGCACAAAAATCCGAAATCCCTGAATCCGACGTAATTCAGTTCCAAAGACAGGTGTAGAAGACAGGTATAAAAGTCGTCGCTATATGGGAAAGCCCTGCGCATTCAACCGCCACTCCGAATCATTAAGATTTTCGAATGAAAACCTGGCCTATACATATACGTTTGCGACTATC